CGCCTCGGCCTCCCAGAGTGCTAGGATTACAGGCGTGAGCCACCGCGCCCGGCCTAGAATATAATTTTTAATGCAGAATTTGCTTTAGTATTTTTTCCAGTATGCTGGCAATATTTGTATTTTTTTTATGTGTGTTGATTAACCAGTTCTGGTAGTGCTTTTGGAGAAAAAGAAAATGAGATTCCTTCAAACCATATTTTTCCAAGATCTAATATCCAGTATGCTGTTCCAGAGGCTCTCATAATTCATTTGATTGATTTCTATTCTTCCTTATTTCAAAAAAGCTTAAAGGTGGTGTTTCAGTTATTTATTGCTGAGTAACAAATCACTCCAAGACTTAGTGGCTTAAAACACAATTTGTTTGTGAATCTCAAGTTTAGGCAGGGCTCAGTGGGTGTGGTTCATCTCTGCCTCAAATGGCATCAGATGGGAACTTGGTTGAACTCAGACTACCCAGGATGGCCTCTCAACCTCCAGGGCCTCTCTCCACATGAATCGTTATCATTCAGTAATCTTACATAGTGTCTGGATCCCAAAAAGCAAAATCAGAAGGTACCAGGCTTCTGAAAGCCTGGCACAGTGTCATTTCTGCCACATTCTATTAGTCAAAGCAAGGTGTAAGGCCAGCTCAGATTCAAGGGGAGGGAATCAAATAATACATTCCCCCTCTCGATGAGAAGAATGGCATGTGTATACCAGAAGGGGAGGAATTGTTGGTGGCTGTTTTTGGAGACTATCTATCATAGGTGGCGAATGAAGATTACTCAACTTTGAATTTGTGATTAACTCCTATCACCTCAGATCCTTAATGAAGGGAACTTTTGGTTTCTACAGCTAAAAAGATACACCAGATAAAAATCCTGGCATAATAAATGCAAGATTCATACACAATACCAAAGCTTTCCTACCATTTTTACAAAATGCTTACCATGTATGCTATTTGTAGACCATTTTAATTTTATTTTTCAGTTACTAAAAAACTATTATAAATGGAGAGCAGAATGCCCAGAAATAAGTGCAGATCTACACCCTAGAAGTGTTCTTGGCCTTCTGAAGGCCGGCTACCATGGAGTCCTGAGATCCAGGGACCCCACCGGCAGCAAAGTTCTTATTTACAGAATCGGTAAGTCAGACATGGCTCTTTTTCTCCCCTCCCCTCCCCTCCCCTTCTCTCCCGTTCATCTTCCCTCACTCCCTTCTTATTTTCTTTCTTTTCCTACTCCTCCTTCCCTCCTTCTATTTTTTCTTGACTGCCACATGGAAAGCTTCAATGAGTCCATCTTTAAGAATTTAGTTTTAATTTGGGTCTTACTGTCTCCCAAATATAATAAAAGCTTTGGCAGTTAGGAGAAAATTAACAGAAACCGGTGACAATCCTACTTCCATTCTACCACACAATCAACTGTATAAAATAAGAGAAAAGGAAAATAGAGAAGAAGTGGGAGAAGGTAAAAAAGATCAAGAAAAAGTGTTTCAAAAATGCTTCGTAGGAAATACAAATAAAAGAATCCTGAGCTATAATAATGTAAGCTCCATGAGATTATAGATTTTGTCTGCTCTGTTCACTGATGTCTCCCAAGCCTGGTACATGGTAGGTCCTCATTAAATATCTGTGGCATGAGTGAATGAATGACTAGTTCAATTATGCCCCAGGCTGAGGAGCAAGGGGCTCATTCCCCCAGGTGGAGGAGGGTGCCATGGGAAGGCAGCACCCTGGCAGTTCTTGCAGACACTGTTCCATTAGCTCCTCTTTCTGTTCACTGCTTCCCCTTTTCACTATTAGGTGTCCCTGGGATTTCTTGTAGGGTGGTGTCAGTCCATTCGGGCTGCTGTAACAAAATGCCATACACTGGGTGGCTTATAAAAACAGAATTTTATTTCTGATAGTTCTGGAGGCTGGAAAGTCCAAGCTCAAGGTGCTGGCAGATTTGGTGTCTGGTGGAGTCTGTTTCCTGGTTCCTAGACGAAGCCTTCTCACTCTAACCTCACATGCTGGAAGGGCCAGAGGTCCCTCTCAGGTTTCTTTTATCAGGGCACTAATCCCCTTCATGAGGGCTCCACCCTCATGACCCAGTCACCCCCGAAAGACACTACCTCTTAATAATATGACCTTGGGAGTTAGAACTTCAGCATATGGATTTTGAGGGGCACAAACATTCACACCATAGCCGTCGGTGACCTGTATCGTCTGCCCTTCCTTAGACCTCTGTGTGATTAAAAATGTCAGATAAAGGAGAAAGACACAGTACTCCCAGCACCTCTCACGGCCTAGTTGAAAGGACAAAGATAATGAACATTGCAGGAGCAGAATCTTGTGAATTATAGCCTTACAGAAATTTCTACATCTTTAAAGATGAAAATACTTACATATTTGCACTTCTTGCCTACTTACAGCTAAGTTACCTAACTACAACTCAATGGCTTGCTATCTTGCAAGAAGATACTGTACTTAATTTTAAAAAGGATATCAGAAGATTGAGTAAAATGACTTGTTTTTTTTTTTTTTTGCCCTAGCTTATGTGTCAAATAAAATTGGGTTAATCATAAAGTCATCATCTTATAAACAGACATCATAATGTCCTTTCTGTTCTTTTATTGTCCACCAGTGTCAAAAGAACTTGAATGAGCTCCTAGCAATGAAGTTCTTTGATTCCTTGGGGATAGGCACACCAGACTTAAGAAAGGACTTTTAGCTAATAACCTATATATTATAAAAATATAGGGTGCCCAGTTACATTTGAATTGCAGATAAACAGCAAATAATTTTTTTAGTATGTATGAAGCATACTTATGTTACAAAATTAAATCCTGCTTATCTGAAATTCATCTTTAAACTGGGTGTTCTATATATTATCTGGCAACTCTACTCAGGGGTCTGAGAAACATAAAACTGAGACCTGCAGCTGATTCTTTCTGCAAATGTCTTTGCTCTACAGTGCCTGGCTAGATTTTTTTTTTTTTTTCCTAGTTTGTTTATAAACTATTAATAACTGGGGCAGGTGAAGAAGTAAAAATGACACCTTGATAGTGAAAAAGCAAATGTGGTACTCTGATCATAAATACCTTAACATTGAACCAGTAGGCCTCTTGTCCAGCCTGGGTCTTTTTTTTTTTTTTTTTGGCAAATTAGACGAGTTTACTAGAGGTTACTTACGGGGCACTTGGTCCTGGACAGCAGAGGGATTTCTTTCTTGCTTGCAAAATGTGCATTTGCCCACCCTGTGGTCTTGCTTTAAATCCCTTCCCAATGAGTAATGTTTACATTGTTATCTCGGCTTGTTCACAGTGAAGCAAATCACTACCATCATCATATGCTGTCATGCAACCCATGTTATGTTAATGATATTACAACTTTTCAGTAGGTGGGGATTTTAGTGTTGCAATTAGCTAAAGGGCACTATAGGACAGCCAAAGCAGTTCTAAAACAATCAGGGCTGGTCTAAGCCAGCTATTTCAAGGCAAGAAAGTGCTGAGGCACTTCCCCCACCCAGTAGTTATCTCGGTACTTGCTTAATCTGTTTTGTAACAATTTTGCTGAACATTCCATAGCCTGGGTGTTTTGTAGTATATTAATTTCTAAGTGTATTGTTTGATTCAAAGAGATTTGAAAATCAAGAAAACATGTAGTTTAGTGATGCTCAGAACAGAAAGGTATGCAGCAAATCTGTGTATTAGGTTAGTCCAGGATGAAAAAGAGAAACTCAGATTTTTTTTTTTTTTTTGAGACAATGTCTCACCCTGTTGCCCAGGCTAGAGTGCAGTGGAGTCCTTATAACTCACTGCAACCCCAAACTCCCAGGCCATCATCCTGCCTCAGCCTCCCAAGTAGCTGCCACCATGCCCAGCTAATTTTTCTATTTTTGTACAGAATGGGTCTCACTCTTGCTCAGGCTAGTCTCGAACTCCTGGCTTCAAGCAGTCCTCCTGCCTTGGCCTCCCAAAGTGCTAGGATTTGGGGCATGACCATGCCCAGCTTCTCAGAAGAATTTTATGAGTACAATGAAATGATAAGATAAAGATTTATAAATTTTCAAAATTTAATTGACTTAATGGGAGGAGCTAACAAGGAAATCTGTGGTAGAGCTTTTAGGTAGAACCATAGTGTAACCAGCTTCCCCTGATACCATCTCTGTGCAGTAAAAGCAATGATAAAATGTACAGAGCCTCTTCCTCCATACCAGCAGGGCAACCCAAGGTGAAGCTAAGTTTTAGCTTTTATCAGCCTACATGCCAGAGGATATAATTGTATGCCTTTTGAGACCCACTACTCTACTACAACAGCAAAAATAAAATTTAACAGTGAATATTAAGGTTTGACTATGGTTTAATTCTTATGAATAACAGGTTCTGAGGCATGTGGCCTGGGTAGGAATCTCAGCCTTGCTACATTCTAGCTGTGTAGAAAGCTATGTAGTTGTAACTCCCATTTTCTCATCTGCAAAATGGGCACAGTAAAAACCTATTGCATAGGGTTGCTGTGAGCATTAAATCTATGTATCATCTGTCTACCTATTTATCTGAAATATAACAAAGAACATTACCTGGTATATAATAAGCACTCAGTAAATGTTAGGTGTATGCTGGAGAAGGAATTAAAATTTTAAGATTTTTTTTTTTTTGCCTCAACGGAGCTTAAAGTCTAGCCAGCACCATCCAATAGAACTTTATATGATGATGAAACTGTTCTACGGCAGCTACCAGCCACATGTGGCTATTGAGCACTTGAAATGTGGCTGCTGCAACTAGGAAACTCAATTTTAATTTGAATTTGAATAGCCACACATGGCCAATGGCTACCCTATTGGATAGTGCAGGTTAGACAATCGTGTTGATCATCTAGGAAATTGAGGTCAGTAACTATTTTCTGATCTGCAGATTTCATTTGTTCTGCTCATATTTTTCCTAATTGTAGCATTTGGCCAAATGTCTGAAGATAGTATAGTAATTTTGAGCTGGGTTATCCGTGGGTTCATTACTTAATTCCTACCAGGAATCCGAGGCTTTTAAAAAGCAAGGGCAATCCATCCTTGGTTCCTTCTTAGGAACACTTCTGATTATCCTTTCTCTTTCTAGATTTTCAACTTTTTCCTTACTAGTACTTGCTACCAATAAATATTTAAATCGGGTTAGGGTCAGCCATCCAAAACAAAACAAAAATTCCTCCTCCATCACACAAAACCCTCCAACCTCCACTCTAACCATCTCCCCTCTCCTCTTATTCTCAGCCAAACTCCATTAGTTAGTTCCTTATCCACATTTTCCCACAGTTCCTCCTCAGCCCTCCCTGGTCTGGTGTTACTCCCAATCCTGCTGAAATAACCTTAACCAATCATCAGTGACTTTTTATTTTTTTTTTTTTGAGACAGAGTCTCACTGTGTTGCCCGGGCTAGAGTGTTGTGGTATCAGCCTAGCTCACAGCAACCTCAAACTTCTGGGCTCAAGCGATCCTCCTGCCTCAGCCTCCTGAGTAGCTGGGTCTATAGGCGCGTGACACCACGCCCGGCTAATTTTTTCTATTTTTAGTAGAGATGGGGTCTCGTTCTTGCTCAGGCTGGTCTCAAACTCCTGAGCTCAAGTGATCCTCCCACCTCTGCCTCTTAGAGTGCTAGGATTACAGGTATGAGCCACTGCCCCCGGCCCATCAGTGACTTTTTCACTAAATCTAATGGACATGTTTAATCCCATTTTGCTTAACCTCTCAACACAGTAGGCCACTTCCTCTTTCTGGAACTATCCTTTTCCCTTGGCTTCTCTGATGCCACATTCTGCTGGTGTTTTCATCTGACTTAACTGGCTGCTCCTTCATAATCTCTTTTGTTGGCATCACCTCTTGTACTCACACTTTAAATTCTGAAATTCCTTAGGACATTGGCCTCAGCCTTCTCTTCTTATGCTACTTTCTCTTCTTCACTACAGTAGAGAAAAACATAGATCTAAGACAATATCCCTGTCACAGATTGTCCTGTAAGCCTGAACAACCCCCAGATTTTCAACTCCTGGGTCTCTTCGGGGACCCAGATCCATATGATGAGCTCCTATTCCAGCCACATTGAACTGGACATCTCAACAGTCACCATTTTTACATGTTCAACCTTATTTACGATCTTTTCCACCCCAAACACTTCTATCTCAATAAATGGTCCCACTATTGTATCCAGTTGCCCATCCCAGACACTTTTTTTTTGAAATTTCACCATTACTTAGTTATGAATCTTTTTTTTCTCTTTTTCATTCATCCTGTTAGGCATTTCATGGACCTTTCAGTCTGAAGACTTACAGAGCCTTCCTTTTATAAGCCTTTTGAGACCCACTGTTATACTGGAAAATTTTTCTCTACTGTTACTATTCCTCTCTGTCATTGCCTGCTAGAACTCTTGTTAGTTGAAACTCTTGTAGAAACTTCTGGATTTAGCTGCATATGTCTCTTAACTTGTTATTCATATATATATCAACTCTTGGCTTTTTTGTGCCAAGTTTGAGAGAATCCCTCAACTTGATCTTCCAAACCACCGTTTACTTATTGGCTGTGTCTTTTCCATCATTTGTCCCATCAACTGAGTTTTCTTTTCTTTCTTTTTTTTTTGAATTACCTTTTTATTCCCAAGATCTCAACTGATTCTTTTAAATAATAGCCTGTTCTTATAATAATAGCCTACACTATCCTTTTTCCCCTTTCTGAGACTGTTACGTTTCTTTAAAAAAGTTTTTTTTTAGAGATGAGAGTTGGGGGAGTGGGAGGTTGTCTATGTTGACTAGGCTGTACTCAGACTCCTGGGCTGGAGCAATCCTCCCACCCAGGTAGCTGGGATTACAGGTGTGCACCACGAAGCCCAGCTTCTATTATGCTTCTTTTGATGTCTTCTGCTTTCGTAATTGTTTGCTTGAGCTTTGATGTCTTCGTCTATTGAGTTTGGTTCTTCTGTTCTTTGTGTGTGCACACACGAGTGTGTTTAATATTCTAATTTTTAACGAATGGATTTTTCCTTTTTTTTTTTTTTTTATGATTACCTAACCTGCTTGCCTGTCCATTACTATCATTTCTGTATGCCATGGCTTGTCCCAGGGATGCAGGGGAGGGGTGAGATGTGTGGACTAGATTGTAATTCCTCTCCTAGTGCAGGTATTCCCTGTTTTCCTTGGGTGTGGACAGCTACCTAGGTCCTTCCCTGGCTGTTTTGTCCCAAGCCCACATTTACTGGTCTAGCCTGTAGGGACATGACTCTGCCATGTGCTTCTTATCGTCAGAGGATCAACCTGTCTGTCTGCTCCTCAGGCATTTCCCTTAGCAACCTCTTTGGTTACTATCGTGCCCTAATTGCTCCTCATAATCCAGGCCTTCGCTTTTCCCATTTCCAACATCTCTGAACTTGGAGCATACCCAGCAGCATTCTCATCTTTAGCCACAGCCCTCTCCCGTAGGTGAGGTTGTCATTTCCTTTTGCAATAACATCCAGCCTGCATCTATTCTTGTTTCCCCCACACTCTTAAAAATCTGTTTTCTGCTAGGGATTTAAGGAAGGAGGGAGAAGCAGGCCCATGTTCTTGGACCCCAACTTGATCTATTATTCAATTCATAATCTTTGTACATGTTTTTATTTCCACTGATCCTTTAAGTCTAAAAAGAATTTGTTTCCCTTTTAAATCTCTCTGAGTCTTTACACAATGCTGAGATATGATATGCTTTTATTTTTTTTAGCACACTGGGACCCAAAAGTTTTTACAGCTTATGATGTATTTCGTGTAAGTCTAATCACATCCGAGCTTATTGTACAGGAGGTAGAAACTCAACGGAATGGAATCAAGGCTATCTTTGATATGGAAGGTTGGCAGGTTTCCCATGCCTTTCAAATTACCCCATCTGTAGCCAAGAAGATTGCTGCGGTACTTACAGTAAGTGTATGTTTTAACTGTTTGGTATAATATTAAATACTTCCAAATAATAGTTTTAAATTTTGTTATATGTTAGACAAAAAGATGCAATCGTACATTTATTAGAAACATAAAAATTTTAGAAATGATACATAGAATTCAGTAATGCTTAAAGGAAATAAAGTGTTATTAATTTATAAAATCAAAAATGTTGCAACAAACTGCAAAAATATAGTCAAAACCAGTGATCACAGAATTTAAACATTTTAGCCATATGTGGTGACTTAATCTTCCTGTCATTAAAAATTTTTCCCCTAAAATAATTGACTCAAAAATATTTATAGCAATGACGCAATAAAATGTCACATAAGTCTTGGTAGGTATATATTGATATAGCTTTTTTTAGAAATCAAAAGGTTTTTAAAATGGTCATCATCTTTGATCCAGCAATTCTACTTCTGGGAACCTAGGTAAGTAATAATCTTAAATATAGTAAGACTTCATATATAATAATCATAGCTTACTATGTGCCAGGTATTTTGCTAAGTATTTCAAGTGTATTACCTCTTAATGTCCACACTGAGCTATGACATATGACTATCGTTTTTCTCATTTTACAAGTTAATAAACTGTGCCAGAGAAGTGACATAGCAATGCCCAGACACGGTTTGTCAGCAGTGAAGTGAGGATTACAGTCTAGGTCATCTGAATGTAAAAGCTGTGCTTGTAACCACCACTCCTAAACATAAAAGATAGTTACTGCAGCATCACTTTTAGTAGAAGAAAATGAGAAACAACTTATTTGTCCAGAGATAGCAAAATGGTTCCTTAAATTATGGTACATCCATTTGATGGATTACTACAACAATATTAAAACATGATGTTTATAAAACTGTTATATCAATGGAACAAAACAGGATGCAAATTATTTAGGCAGCATATTTGCAATTATGTTTAAAATAAAATTATGCATAGAAGGGACCTGGAAGAAAAGCCCCAAATTAATAATATATCTCTAAATGCTATGCATAGAAAAATGAAACAGAACTTCACATAAAATAACCTTGGAAGGTTCTTTTGGAAAGAAAAGTTTTTATATTAACAACATAAATTTTGGGTAGGGAAACTATTTTTTCCTTTTAACACTTAGCTTTTTAAACTTTCTAAATAAGCCTATATTACTTTTATGTTTAAGATGTATACCAATGTGAAAAGTTTAAAAGTTTGTGTTTGTTGTAATATTCTTTCAATTTTTATGCAAGTTTAGATTTTTTTTTCCTCAAAATAAAAATTTTGGGGAAGAAAGTTAAAAATAGATGTTCAAATTACTCATTGGTCCTTAAAAAATTTACATATAATTAGGAAT